AATAAAATTAAGAATACAAAAGAGTAAATATGCAAGGACAGAAGCTGATGATAAATTTCCAATCTACTGTTAAGGGAGCAGTGCCTCACATGCATCATGAGGGACCTTCTCATCATAAAACGCAGCTTTTGGTTGGCTTTCTTGATTGAGTTAAGGAATGTTTCACAGCGAAAATCAATTTGGCCAAAAAATATCACCATAGCTGATGCAGATAAAGCATGAACTGATTTCTTCGAATCAAGAAACCGTGTTTCAGCAGTAAAGTAGTGAGAAACATCTGGCAGGGTTTTTTAGCTACTGCCTCCATATAAGATAAAATTCTTCCAACCTTATAAACTAATTTCGCTGTTCCCACAAACAAACCAAAAAATTGAAGATGGTCTATAAAATACTGACCTTGCAGGACAATTTTTCAGCTGTTTTTTGAACTGAATAAAATGTGTCTAAAACTAAATTAAACCACACATCCTTTCTTTCAGTCTAATAAAGAAAGTTTTTTATTGCGTTAGTCTCCCAACAAACTTTAGAAACGCCATCTCTTAATTAATTAGCAGTGGAGTTGATAGATTTAAACATAATTTTTTAAAGACTGGCTTCAACTACAGATTCTAATACCACAATGATCCTGACCATCATCTCTCCCCTCCTAGTTCTATGAAACAGATTCATTTGGTTTAAAAACATTCAACCTGGCACTTGTTAAATTAAGTCCTTAGTTTTGCAGTACGAAAAAGTCATCAAAATCAAAAAAAAAAAAACAAATAAACCGATTCCGGTATTCATTCAAAAAACAAAAATAGAATGGCTTTAAATGGGAAGTGCAGAATTTACGTGAAAAAATCAAAGGGTAAACTTAGAGTCAAGTAATATGCAGAATCCAATAAAATTATATTAGATAAAGAAAAAAATTGGTACGGCGAAGTGCTGGTAGAAGAAAAGACAGAAAAAAAACCGATGGGAATTTTCGAAACCAAAGTAAACAATAGATGCTAACGAAGGAAGAGAAGCCACTATATGCAAAGTTAACAATAAAAGTAGGTTTGAACCAAAAACTACAGCCAAAAAGGACAAAAAAATCCTACGAAATGTGTCCCTGGCTAATGAGATTCCTGCCAGAATAAGTCAATCATTTGTCTTTCCTAAATTCTGTCCTAAACACACTATCTAAATTCAAACTAGTATGAAACTTGTTCATACATTCTTCTGTTTCATCTTTTTTTTTATTGTAGCATTCACGCTAAATTAAGCTCAATCCGTTAACAAACAGATTATTCGCAAATGCTAACAGTTTAGAAAATGAAATGATAAAGGTAAATGACGAAGTTCTTAAAAAAGGGCAAATATCGTTTTTAAATTAATCATCAACACAGATTATTTAAAATTAGTTTATTTTAAGCCTTTTATTATGTACTCAACCCGATGAGTTTGACTTCAAAATGCAAATTTTTTAACCTATATTGCAAACGACGAAATCAAGAAAAAAAATAAAAGAAAAAACTTTATAAAAGAAATGGGGAAAAATAATATTTAAGCAAAAAAAATTACCACCTATAGTAAGTGATACTTCCTGTAGCAATAAATCGCGACAAAAAAAAAAA